TGAGGAAGGCGGGCCCTGCCTGCCTGGGCGGCCCTGGGCCCTGGGGTTTTGTCTCCCTGCCAGCCCAGCTGCCTGCGCAATTACTGTGTTTTGCAGGGTAACAAAGGCTTCTCCCAGCACAGGCTGAGCTGGTGCTGAGGAGTTTTTCTCTTACAACACCTGGGTGCTTAGAGAAGCTAATTTGGGCTTAAGACTTCCCTCCCTCCCTTTTTCCATCCCCTCCCCTTCCATCCTGCATGATTATTAACGAGTTTGGGCTTAATGAGTCAAGGAGGTGTGTCATTTAAGTGTCACAGAAAAGGGCTAAGTGGAGCCAGCATCTGCTGGAGGAGGAGAGGGGGTAGAAAAAAATGCAACACCCCCCACCCCCCCAGCTAAATAGTTACCTACAGCCCCCCAATCCCGCTGGCAGCAGGTAAAGGGGCAAAGCCGCAAGCAGAGGAAAGCCGAGTGCCATGTGGTGTTCTGGTGGGGCTGGATGATCACCTTAGCAAGCATATAAACCTGTTACCTGTTGGAAAGTACAGCAGCGTGGGGGGTACTTCCACCTGGGTGGTACGAGGGGAAATTTTATGCCAGGGGTCCCTTTTTCCCAATATTCTTCCTACTGCTGGTCCCCCTTGTCCTGTGCCTTCAACCCCCAAAGCCCCCCCTTTTCCCGGTCCCTCATCCCCTGCCTTGCTCTCTGCAGGTAATCTGAGGATGAGGGTGGCCGAGGCAGAGAGCTGGGCACTGGTATGGTCATTGACTTGGTGGGGACATGTGTCCGTCTCCTGGGAGGCCACTTTTCTAGGACATAGAGAAAAGCATTCCTAGTAGGGCTGAGCAAACGCCGTAGGGCTGTGGTTGAGGGATCAAAGACGGGGTGTTCTTTTAGTGGGGTGCCACTGCCTTCCCTCCTGCTCTGGCCCTGACAGCAGCCCCTTGGCCATCTTCTGCAGTGAACTCCCTTCTCGTAAAGGGCTGAAAACCTCACGCTTCCTCCCCAAAGAGGCTCTCCCAGTTTGACACTGAAACGTTGTGTCCTTCTGCTCCCCGGGAAGACCCGAGGGTAGTGATGGGAGCCCAAACCCCAGACCTACCAGCGTTTGAAGAGTAGCCTCATGCCCCTTAACACCCCCGAACGCACACGTGCATTGGTAGCAAGGAAGCAGCGAGCTGGGAGGTCAAAAACGAAGAAAGAAAAGAGGGGCTTTGTGCAACTGGTGTAAATATCAAACACAATGCTGACTTGAGTTCCTCGTGGCTGGGGACGGATGATCGAAGCACCGCATCAGGGTCAGCAGCACCCACCGACCACGGGACAGGAGATGACTCCGAGGGTTGCACGGGGCTGACGGCAGCTCTCGTACCTGTCTGGCTGATCCGTGCTTCGAGGACTGCCACCACTTGTACAGTCCGTGGCAGCTAAATGCTCCTGGGGTTTCCCGAGCAGACTTGCGTTGGAGTAAACCTCTTAAATTATTTATTTATTTATTTATTATTGTTATTATTATTCTATTTTTAACTGTATGTCAGAACGGATGCAGGTGGTCACTGTTACCAGTATTTATTTATTCTATTTTTTTTAACAATAAGTTATTTTTGGATCTGTTTGTTTGAATGTATCCATGCCGCTGTTCTCGTGTAAAGGTTTACAGCGCTGGCCCCTCTCGGTGAGGCGGCTGGAGGGGGGAGGGTCAATCCTGCTGCGGTG